GAGCTCAGAAAGCCCCGGAGCGACAACCCTCGGCCTCGGGAGAGGCAGAGAGCGCTGGAAAAGGGGTCGGCTGCTTTGGCTCCTCAACGCACCCCTCGTGGCGGAAGTGAACTGATTGGGCCAATTGTACAGCGCGCCACGCTTTGCAGGCTTTGATACACTGGGTTCGCCTGTCAGACATGCTTGCAAGCAAGCAGGCGTGACATTCCCAGCGCACAACCGGAACATTATTCAATATGAGGGGCAGATCTACAAGAATTTCATGGGACAGCAGACGGTGCTTCTGCCAATTCTGCCTGCACTTGGCAACATGAGTCGACGTAACGAAAACGATGGACAACCCGAACACCGGCAATTTGGACTTTTTACTGTAGTTGTCACAGACTCTTGGACTGATTGGTGAGGACTTTGCTGGATGATCCGGCCAGCTAAGGAGATCACTGGAGACATCCACTGGTACGATTTCAACGCAAAGTGCGGCTGCCTCAGATCAGGCGCCGAAGCTACTTAAAATGTGTGGCTGTGGGTCAAAACCAATGGTACCATTTCACCCATTTTGGTCTATTTATGTGGGGATTAGGATGTTCACTGGGGGTACGATTTGGGTTTTGACCCATAGCCATGTCTCCAAAAGGCCACCGGAGGTGGGTGGCGTCCTTCTGGTATTTACCTTTAGGCCAAAAATCGCTCAACAGGTGTTTGTCAGGCAGCTTGTGAGCCGTAGGCTTTGTGACAAGCCCGTAGGATGATTCAAATACTCCCTCCAACAGAACTCTAGTGTATTGATTTTCAAAGCTCTATCAAAGCCAGAAAGCCCCAAACGTGATTCAACAAAATCCGCTTGCCAGTTTCGAGCGCTGCAATTGTTGGTGTAGCTTTGTAGATTTTTTGGGCCTGGGCTCATTGCCCAATGTGCTGTTTGAGTTGATCTCAAGCCAAGTGCATGGTGTGATATGTGTTGCAGTTCATTCCCGCAGTGAAGCTGTTTGAATCAATAGTCTTGCTGATGGCTCATTTCAACATTCTCAGGCTTGCGCTGCGATGAGACAAATTGTGGCCCCGCCTTCGTCAAGGCAGGCTGTTGCGTTGAGTCGCTTCGCTTGGAGTCCCTCGTCGAGAAGATGCTTCTGCCACGATTGGAGTATGGCTTGTGTCGGTTTTTGGATCCATGCTGCAGTTAGGGTCGCGGTTGCAAGAAGTGTGTCAAAATCTGGAGAATGAAGATTGGATCTTCATGTCTTGATATTACTGTTTACCTTGTTTTCATGGATCTCTCGCACACCAGTTAACTCGCACACCAGCTAAGTCTGATGGCTCCCTTGTCCTGCCTTTCCCATCTCTTGCCTCATCCTCAAGTCACTTTTGGAGGATGAAAGAGGTAAGAAGGAAAGGGAAAGGCCATCTCTTCTCCCACCTGCCCGCTCTGTGAGTCTTGGCAGGATGGTAACTTCTACAATTCATTTCTCATTTCTTAGGCTGCCTACCTTCCTTGTGTACCCTTTCCCCAGCCGTGTGCTTGGCTGGTAGGATATTAATATCATAATATATATATATATATGGTATATATAGTATTCGTATATTATATTATACATTATATATTATACAATATATGATATTATATTAATATAACATTATACGATATTATACGATATGATATGATATATTGTATTACATCATGTTATATTATTTCATATCATATTATATATAGAGAGGGCGGACGTCTTTGGTTGCGGTTTTCAGATTCCTGTGGGCTGCGTTTTTTCAGATTCCTGGGGGCTGCGTTTGTTTCCTCTGATTGGACTGCTCCTTATTGAACTCTTCTGGTTTTAGTTGGAATTTAAGTTGAACTTGATACATATATCAAGTTATGTTTTCTGTTGATAATAAAGATACTTAGAGGTCCCAAATTGGGTAAATGCACGTTTAAATGTCTACTGATTTCCAAAGCCGATTCTATCGGAAAGGACATCCTGGAAAAGTCATTAATTATATTCTAGTTCAACGTAAAACACGGGTTGGAGTCTGTCCTTATTAAATGTCACTCAATGTGCGATAGAAATTAGGCAGAAACTGATAGATATATTAAGCAGCATTCAGAAGGAACAAAATGAGCGGTCCCGAAGATGTTGAATGCATGTTCCCGTGTAACATTTACTTTGAAGCATAATAATCATTATTCAAACTCAACTTTAACATAGAACTTCTGATAGGAGCCTTTCCTTATGAACCTCTACTTAATTTCAGTCACAAAGTGAGTAGACTTTGACAAAGCTATTAAGTCATAAGGACAGAATTCAGAGGTCCCGACATCATGTTTTTTTGCTTTCTAGCCCCCAGCACTACCATGGTCAGAAAACACCGCAAAGCACAGTGTTTTGTAGCATTTTTCGTTTTCGATTCACATCTCCACCAACAGCCACTCGTTAAAATTCAGTTGAATTTGAATAAGACTTAATTGGGACTGAATAAGGAAATGCTTTTTCAGAATCCAACTGCGAATTGCATCTTACACTTAGACTAGACGGAGATCCTTTCTTTACAATTAAAATAGAGTTTTAGCATAGCTTGATAAGGAATATGTACAATCACTGATAAGGAATGAATCCAACCACAACTTCTTTGTTGAAGTATAATTTGCAGTGGAATTGTTCTATCTAAAATAACAATTCTATCGAACCCCAGGTCTCGAACGAGCAGATGAACATGTTTGGCTTGTTCTTTTATTATTATTGTTCCTTGCTCTTTTTTTTTTGTGTTTAGCCTCCCCAACCCTAAAAACAAAAAAAACACCACAGGTCTCGAATGAGCAGATGAAGATGATAGGCTGCCTGTTTTCTTTTTGTTTTCTTTCGTTTTGTCAGTTTTTAGATTCCCCAATCGGAAAGACACAAAACAACAAACAAAAGCACCAACCCCAGGCCTTGAACGAACAGATGAAGATGATGGGCTTCTGTTTTTATTTTTCGGTTGGTTTTTGATGAAAACACACAGCCCCCAGGAATCTGAAAAACGCAGCCCGCATGGCGCCCCCTTCTGTATTATTATGAATTATATTCCATATTAATCTTGATCCTGTTTTACTCGCACAGGCTGGAGCCACCTCCTGGATGTTCTAGCAATGCCTTCAGAATGCTTCTGAACTGATTTGGATACTGTGGATGGACGAAATCCTGCATCACCAAGGAAACCCTCCAATGATGGTTCGGTAAATACCAGCAAACAACGGTTTCCCATGCTTTCAAACTGGTGCAGGAATTCGTCCATCCACAGTATGTTTAGTCAGGGCCCGGAAGACCTTGCCCCTTGTCACTTCCTTCCAGAACCCGCCGCTGTGACGTCCAAGCTTCGAGCTGCTCGCCACCGCCAGGGCGCTGGGGCCAATCGGCGCTCCAGCGGCATCGAGTCCGACATCAAGCGGCCAGAGGCGCAAAAGTGCCAGATGGGCATGTGCCTTGGACACATGGCCATGGTTCAAAACCGTTTTGGTACCATTTTGAGATCGGTGAATTCACCACCCATTTTAGAACTTATTTTAGTGGTTGGATTGGGAAGTTCACGGGGGGTACCGTTTTGACCCTTGGACACATCGTGGCCGTGCTGTTCGGCTGGCATAGCCCGAGGCCACAGTAGTCATCATCTCAGGCATAAAGCTTGGAGGGTTGCTGCGGCACGGAGGGTGTTGCAAGTTTGCAAGCTTCTTCGTATTTGTTTCAAAGGTCCCTTTATTCCTTTGGGCTTTGACTGTGGAGACTTGTTGCTGATTTCATTGTCCCATTTCTGAGGTACTCAGGCTGCTCGACTGCAATTTGACCTCAGGGTCCCACCAGATCCCATCAGACTGCATTTGTTTTGCTGGTGCCGGGCATTAATTCAGTGTCCTGTCGCAGAAGGTCCCTGGGTCCCTGAATGAGTGAATGAATTGGTCACGGTCTGTTTGCATGGCTCGTCGTGTGGATTGCATGGACAACGTGTGGCTCGTATCAGACCAGTCGCTTGCAGCCAGCATGACATTGATTTTATTTCAATGCAATGGCCTAAGGTGTGCCTGACGCGGACTTGCCCACCTTGCCCAAGCCGCGTGTTTAGAACCTAGTTGATGGAGCAGTCAGACACGCGCTTGGCTGCATCAACATCTACTTCTGCTGCTTGTCTGTTGCAAGCATAATTAGGCGGCAAGAATCGTTGACTCTATGCAGGGAAGCGTCGACAATGTGCTGTGCAGCCATCCTCTCCTATGAATCAAGCAGCCGGGTAGCTGTTCGACTCCACTGCGCGAAGCAAGATTAGTTGCGTAGCGAATCTTTTGCAGCATTCTAGCATTTGACCAGGATGTGTCTTAGCAGGCACCAAGGCACCCAGGCTGCGCCAAAGGCCGGCTTGCCAGCGTCCACGTCGCGGGTCCATGCACAAAAGCTCTGTGTGTGGCCGCAGGCAAAGGCCTTTCTTATCAGGAGAGGCCGGAACCAGGGGATCAAACCAAGGGCCCTCATCGTTTTCGCCTGGGGTGGTTTGTGATTGGGGAGGAGGGCATTTATTCTGGGGACTGGATGAATGTCCCCTTTGATACTCTGAGCCACTTTGATGCTCGGACACTCCGCTGAGCAAGTCGCCGTCATTTGACGTGTCAGAGAGAGGTGAAAAAAGCTCTTGGCGCGGGTCATCGAGTCAGGTGACCGGCGAGTGGCCATGCAATTCTTCCGAGAAGCTTTTGAGGTGCAGCTCTCTTGCCCCCTCCGCCGGATTCAACAGCCAAAGGGGAAGTAGCCAGAGTGGCCTTTGACAAAACTTGGTTTTGGTACGTTGATACAAGTTGATACACATGCTTCTCTTAAGCCAAGTGGCTGTGGGCCAAATTAGGCACCCAAAGTGGAACCCTGGCCCCGGTTCATGGTCCTTTGGTGGTATGACTTTGACCCATACCCAAGTCACTTCCTGTTGCTCATTGCCAGTATGTACTTTGTTCCTTGCGTGTTTGAGCTCTCGGGAGGTCGTCCTCCGAGGTTGGGGCGAAATGCCTTCCCAAGACGTGCAAGCACTTGCCGAAAGCCAAGTCTGCAAACTGATGGGAGTGATAATGAGTTAAGACAAGCTGTGATGGGCAGACATTGGACTATGATCAACAAGTGTTTCGGCCTTTGCGCTTCGACCCCGGCTCTTGTGGGTCCTCCGTGCATGACTTCCCTTGAGCATCATCTTGGCCATACTGCAGCTGCTGACACATTGCCCTCATGATGCGAACTTTTCCTTCCTATGACTCCTGAACAGCTTTGGTTTTTGTGCAGAGAACGGCCGTCAATGTCAGGACCTGAAACATCACTCATGCTCCGACTGTTGGCTCATGGTACACTCCAAGCAGTAATGGGTCTCTCACTTACTCTCACTTACTCTCTCTGTCTCTCTCTCTCTCTCTCTTTCCCTTGTCCCAAGCTCTGATGGAAATGTTGGGCAAGCGATGGAATGTTAGTTTGCTTATGCTGAGATGACGCTTCAGGCCGCCCCTGCTGCATGCGGACCACAGAGCCTTGCGGCAGCCAGAGGCCTAGAAGCCCAGCAAATGCCAAGAGAATGAGGGAGCCCCTCTTCACCCCATGTGGCTGTGGGTCAACACCAATGGGATCCCATTTTGGGGTAGGTGAATTCACCACCCATTTCAGAACCTCTTTTAGTGGTTGGATTGATTGATGTTCACTGGGGGTACGATTTGGATGTTGACCCATGGCCAGGTCACAGCAGTGCACAGCATCTATGCACCGCATCCGCACGCAGCAAAGGTGTCGAGGCATCGAGTCAGGATCCGCCGGGCACCCAAACAGTCGCAGAATCCTGCAAACGAGGTTGACGGGGAACACGTAAAAGCGAGTCCATGACCTCAGCTCGGAAGCTGGAACCTTGCAAACATCGCCAAAGCGAGTTCCTGGGCCCGGAAGGAAGGACGGCCACATGCAGGGACTAGCAACTGCAACAACAACAGCGAGAACGAGAACGAGAACGAGAGACATCTCAGCCTGGGGCTGTTGGTTTCAAGCTTGATGGCTTCAAAACGGTCATTCTAATTTTCAGCCTTTGCGCTTTCAGGGGTCAGCTGGGGGAGGGGGGGGTCCGAACTGATCTTAGCGAATGCAGCGATTTCGTGGTACCCATCATTTACTTCAGGTCAAGGCTATAGGCGTGGTGTGCCATTGCGTTGGCCCAGGAATGCCTTCTTCAGTGCGAAGCCGGATATTTGCCCACAGGTCTGCCCTGCCAGAAAGTGTTTGTGAAGTGTTCAGGTCCATGCCCAGGCAGAATATGCATGCCCTCAGACATGCAAACACCGAAGATCGGGCTTCTGTTTGACGCATGTATCAGGTAAACAGCCATCTCAGCTACGCTCATGACGACGGCCATTTCGCATGTCAACGATTAGAAGGCGGCCAATATATCGCGACGACCCAACCGCCACAATCACCAAAGACAACTGTTGACATGTTTGCCGCGCAGGTGTGCGGGCTGTTCTGCGCTGATTGATGTTTTTCAATGAAAGCTGGCAACGAAGGAGTCCCTTGCCGTCACACAGCAGCTGTCGAAACCTCCAAGACAACAAGAGCCAACAGCACACTGTGTGCTCATACACCAGCAGCCCAGACGAAGCATCATTTGTTCCAACTGAAGTAGTTGCGACACAGACACTGTGCCACCCCTTTGCTTCGGTCGCGCAGGAGAAGGGAAGCTCCGCTGCAACCTGGGCAATTTCCAGCCGCGACCTTTGCCAGCATGCTGCAGGTTTTTGAGTTGCGGTCGGCCTGAGTACCTCACAGCTGGTAAACCTGCCAGCGGAACTCGCTGACGCGATGTGACCCATGTAAGATGCTAGATCTCACGATCGTCGTGCTGTGAACCGGGGCCTACAACAGTGATACAGCCGTATGAAGGCCCCAGCCGAGGCTTTATTGTTGGACCAACCAATCGTTTCCTGGTCAGTGTGTTTGCCGTCGGAACAAAGTGGGTTGCGCACAACGTCTCAGCGCTTTTCCGCCGCCAGAAAGGCCAACTTGAGCGATGGGTCCAAGAGATCACACATCAGCAAGGCCAGCAGATCGCGGCAGTCAAGCAAACTGTGGACATGCAGCAGTCTGTGTTCGGCTTCCAGATGCAGAAGTTTGAAGCTTGGCTGGCGCAGCGCCAGAGACACATGTGGCAAGTATTTGGTCCTGGGCCGGCTATGTGGAGGACGCCAAGCTCTATTCCGCGGTTCGGCTCAGCCCGTCGCCCGCCGGGGCCGGGGCAGAGACGCAGCAGGGCGTTGGGGCGCGCCAAGCCCAGCGGCTTGGACGAGTTGGAGCTGTCCGCCGCTTGTGACCAGCTTCTGAGTGGGCGTCGCAATGTCCCCTTTCCAGCCTGGATTCGTGCAGAAAGGCATGAACATGTCCCCTTAGTAGCGCGGCGTCCCGTGCCGCCCTGCTCCCGGCAGTGGCCACATGGCCCATTGGGAGCTGTTGGTCTGGCATATGTCTGCAAGCGCGCGATACATCTTGTCCCAAGCAGTGCGCAACAGCCGCGCAGATCCTGCATGGGTGAGCGGCATCCTGGTACTCTAGTCATGCTGCCGCAAACAAACATCACGTTGCGCGATTGAATGCTTGGGGCCAACAGGCGAACATATTTCAGCTGGCCATGGGGTGCCCCCAATTTTGGAAAACCAGGCTGGCGCAGGCCAAGACGCCCGGGTGCTGAGGCTGCTGAGTCAATGTCTTCCAGCAGATTGCCATCAGACGCCCTCAGCCGGGGACGCAAGCTGCAGCTGGGAAGGATATGCTGCAGTTCTGTCCCCAATTGGCCAACAAGCTTGCAACCCGTGTAGGCCAGATTTCGCATCCCACGTTATGCATATAGCAACTTCCAGTGCCTCCCAAAGTATAGTTGAAGGCTTGTGAGGGCTTTTGCAGGCACTGGATCGCATGGTTGCTGAAAGTGGTTCGATTTTTTTCGCTGGCGCTGGCGGACGTGTCAATGGCGATGAGCTTCGTGGTGGTGGCCTGGAGGGTGCGGCAATCGCATTGGGCCTGCGTACTGCTTTGGGCCCTTCTGGAATTTGGCTGCGGGTCAAAACCGTTTTGGAATCCCATTTTGGGGTAGGTGAATTCACCACCCATTTTAGAGCCTATTTTAGTGGTTGGATTGGGATGTTCACTGGGGGTACGGGCTTTGGCTTTTGACCCATGGCCATTTGACAAGACGAGGTGAGGAACAGCCGCATCGAGTTGGCAGACTGCGCGGGCTTGAAGCACGGCACCGTGCGGAAGCCTACAGCTGTCGTAGGTTTGTGCCTGGCTCCCGGTTCAAGAGGCTCAAGCAATGGATTCCCACGGCAAAGCTAGGCTTGTTGTACAGATTTGCCAGTGCTTCTCACGTCGCCCATGAAGAAATCCCCTTTCTGGTGGGTTACCTTTGAGTTTGGAGACTGCAGGCATGCTGTCAGCTCTAGCGTGTCTCATCATTGCCAGCCAGCTGCGCACCCTGTCACACGTACCTCCTATTTTCCCTTTTTGGGATCACACAAAGCTGTTTGCACATCGAACCTCGCCACAGCTCCGGGCATGAGTCGATGTCTGTGCCGGCGAAAGGCTAGTATGATTGAAGCTTGCTATTTGAGACCCTTACTTCAGCCGGTTTGTCTCTGCAGTGCCTCGCTATGCTCACGCCTCAGGCCTGCAACTTTCGGTGCAAGGATGGCTACCAAAAGGTCCGGAAGCTCAGAGATGCCCAACTTGGCCAGGCCGTTTGGTAGGCCTTCTGAAGCAACATACTGTGGCTCAAAAAACCGGCACCAAAGTCAACCCTGGCAAGTGGAAACATGGACCAAAACCTGCGTAACCCCTCCTGTTTAATGTTGAGCCACATAAATTTATATTTGAAAACATTCCTGGCATATCCTGGCACTGTTGGCGATGGTGCATTCAAGGCGTATTCCTCGGCTTGAGGTGGGCGAGCTTCAATGCTTCTTCGGCCGCTTTACCTCTGCCAGGCACGCTTGCACGTTGGGCTGCAGCTTTCTGACAAGAGACTGAAATGAGAAAGGTGCTGCAGGGAGGCCAATTCCTTGGATATGCTTTAAGGAGCCAGCGGAGTCATTCGGGGTCAATAAATTAAGCTGATTGGGTTTAAGTGAGCGGCGATCAAAAATCCAATGAAGAAGCTTAGTCGTGGGGTGCCAAAATGGGATTCCGCGGAAGGATTTGTTCAGGGCGCGGAAACTTGCGGAAGCTTCTGCGGAGCACATTGCAAGCTTTGTTGCTGCGGAAGCCCGCAAAAGCTAGCTTCACAGATGGCAAACAAAATGAACAGTTTGTTTGGCTCAAGCAAATTGTTTTTTTGGTGCCGGGTTCTTGGAGAAAAAAAAGAACCCTGCAACTTGCAAGCCATTGTTTGGGCCAAACAAATCGTTTTTATTGCGCCCCACACTCCAATAAACTAGACACCAAAGCCAAACCAGGGATGAATCGAACCCTTGTGTCTAAATAGGCACAGTGGATCCCACGTCCGCACTACAAACTGATGCACTCCGGCCCTCTGTCCACAAGGAGCGCTAGCCTCACATTTGCCATCCTCCTTTGTGGAATCGGAAAAACCAACCGCGATTTGTTTGGCGCAAACAATTTCTTTGTGGGCGCCAAGTTCTTGCCTTGACCCTGACTGCGCCAAAAGCTAGCCAACAAAACAGAGAATTCAAAACAATTTGTTTGGCCCAAACAAAGTGTTTTTGGCCTGACTCAGTCTAAGAATAAACACAATGTATTTGGCTCTGACAAGTGTTTTGCCAATGCAGCTTCTTAACAACTATTTGTTTGGCTCAAGCAAATTGCCCTGGATAAAACAAACCAAGCTGTATTTTGTTTTTTTTCCATTTGGTCAGCTGTGAAGAAACAAAAGTGACTTGGAGGAACGCCCGGGACAGGCTTTCAGCAAATCGTCGCGCGGGACGCGCAAACAACCCCAGCAAAGCCCAACAGAAGTCCCACACAGACCACGCGAAGCCGCGGAAGCAAAGTACTTTTGCGGAAGCCAAAACCCGTGCCGCGGAAGCCAGCGGAAGATGCGCGGACACCAGTCCCATATTATGACCTTTTGTCCTTTTATTTTTGGTCACCGCTCAAGTGGCATTGCTTCACGTGCAGCTGATTGAGCCGGTTCCTTAAATGGCTGTGGCTCAAGTTAAACAAGAGGGGTCGCAGGTTGTGCTCCATGTTCTCACTTACCATGGTTTCACTTACCAGGGTTCCATGTTGGCACCGGTTTTTTGAGCCACAGCCAAATGAGAAAGGAAGCAGGGAGGCCAATTCCTTTCTTTGTGCAGCTCTCGCAGAGAACGGTGCTTGTCAGTTTGCAAAATGTTGCGAGAGGCCCTCCACTCATAAATGATACAGGACACTAAAGTGGTTCCGTTTACAAGCAGCCAAAGAAATGACTCAAACAATACACCCTTCCTTTCTGTGTAGCCTTGCTTGTCCAGTGCCGTTGCGCAAGGTGCAAGCCTGCAGATTGTCAGGAGCTCTTGTTGGGGGGTCTGCATTGGCACCTGAACCAACCGGGAAAATGCATCCGTGCATGCATTTTGTAGCTCATTCGGTTTTTCGAGATCTCAGAGCTAACACACCCAAGAGCCAGGAGCCACCTTCCATCCAGGGCCTCACAGCTGTGGGAGCTGCACGCTGCGTGTGCGGCAACTCAAAGGGTTTGATCTCATGAAGTCAGAGAGTTCAAGCATGTGATCAATGCCGGGAACACGCTCCTCAGAACCGCAGAGGTTCTGGCAGACATCATAGCCACAAGGCACGCCTGACATGCCCGAACCGTAATTCAACCCGACGACATGCGGCCATGCAGTAAATGCCCAAGCACGGCCTGCATCCAATTGTCGCAGATGTCTTTTGGTGCTGATCACCCAGGCCAAGGCCGTCGGGTATGGGGTGCAATGCGACCTGCGACTTCCCTTTGCGGCTTGTGCCACAACTCACATGCAGCCGAGCACTCAGCGATCATCGTCTTTACATCTTACGCCTTGCAAGCGGAACAGAGGTCTAGACGAAATGCTTTGCTGCGTGCGAGTTGACATCAAGCTTTCCCAAAAAAGAGTTGCTTTGGCTACAGAGCATGCTGACATTGTTATGGACACTTAGCATCGTTTGCAGGTGACAATGACAAGGTTCATCCAGCCGGCATCTATCCTACCATTTGCCCTGACAGGCTTTCCAAATTCCGCGCGTGAGTTTATTTGATGATCCGGCTTTGGCTGAATGGTGTTGGTGATGTGTTTTACGAATGTGACATAATATGGGGTGAGCGAAAGATAAGCAACAGATCAGGGGTTTGCATCAGTATTGGCGGTGTGTGGCAAAGCCGTGCACGTGCGCGCCGTTGCGCACAGACACACATCTCTCTCTCTATATATTATATATATATATATGTTTTTCTGTGTATATATATATATAGATTGTTTGGGATTGCCATGTGGCCCGCCCAAATGATCAGATGAAAGCAAATCATCAGCACGCCACAGCCTATGGCTGAGCCCGGCGCAAAAGCCGAGTCACAGTACCACTGACGTTGATACAGGGCTCCTTAAAAGATAAAGGGACACCGCCATTTACAAGGCAATGTTCAGGTGTATAATGTAAGGATCCCTGTACCATGGTTTGCGTCAGCCGATGTAAGACTTGCTGGGAGCCGAGGTCATGGTAAGTGGCTACCTGCAGAATGCGTGCCCGAAGCCAAGAGTTCAGAATTGCCAATGGCCAACAAATGGCCGTGGGTCAACATCAATGGTACCATTTTGAGGCAGGTGCACCACCCGTTTTAGTCTATTCTAGTGGGGATGGGGATGTTCACTGGGGGTATGGGGTTTTGACCCATAGCCAAATGCCAAGGGCCCCTTAAAGCAGGTGTCCTTTTGGGTTGTTTTGGTCGAAAAATAGATGGCGATTCCTGGTTTTTAACTGGTGGTTGAATCATCTACCAGTGCCATCTATTTCCTCGAAAAGCAATAAGCAAGCATACTGTGGATGGACGAAATCCTCCTAAGAGACCCCTGGAATGATTTGACTCCCCTGTAAATACCAACACTGGGTGCCCATGTTTTCAAAGTGGTGCGAAATGGATTTTGTCCATCCACAGCGTGCATTTGGCTGGTCCTGAGTCGCAGGCCCTACAGCAAGCCCGGCGGTGAGTCCTGCCATCGACCACCGGCGTGGCGGCCCAGACAAAGCTTTCGAAGTCGTACTGTGGATGGTTGCGAAATCCGTTTGCACCACGAACCCACTTCTTGTTGGTATTTACAGGGGAGTCATCATTCCAGGGTTTCTTAGGTGGTGCAGCATTTTGTCCATCCACAGTATGCCACGAAAAGCGAGTTGTCAGCTTGGTTGATGTTAACTTGTGTGTGTCATGTCAGAGTCTTCAGAAGTCATCAGCAGCACAACACACATTTGGCTTACAAAGCCTAGATGACCGGTTGATGTATGTGCTCAACCAACACATAACACTGTGTGCCCCTTACAAGAACGGACTAACAATTGGGTTGTGCAAAAGTTTGCGGATGCTGTTAGAGAGGGCTTGGTTCAGCCCTAATATTATAACATTCTCGGAATTTGGATATCAATGCCTTTTGAATCTGATACCTATCATTTGACGTGCTGCTGCAGCACCAGCTAGTTTTGGCACAGTCCTTGCACACGGAAAGCCATAGTCGTGTACGGCTGCTGTTCCTCAGACCCGAGCCAGCAGCATGTGCCGAGGCACTGCACCGCGCGGGCGACCTGACCAAGTGCAGCTCCGGAAAGCATGGGGAGAGATGCGAGGCTGGGCTGCTGGTTTCTTGCCTGGTTTTAGCGGGGATTTGTCACTGGTAGATTTCTACATATGCTTTAAAGGTTCCCCTCTTTGCTTTAAGGGGCATCTATCACTGGACATCTGCATAGTGTGTAGGCCCACATTTTTTGGGCATAGTGCTGGCAATGTTTGAGTCGTGCACTACTCCCTCTGCAAACTGCGCCATTGCCCAAAAAGAGCAAAGTAGAGTCGCAGAGATCTGCCTGCCAGGCTTCCTGCGTCCAGGGCTATGCGCTGGATCGGCCGCTGCCCGCGGCCCGAAGTTGAGCAGAGAGAAGTTGCTATGTTTTGAGCAGAGACATTTCGGGAGACCCAAATGCCGTCAGACTGTCCCTTTCATTGGGCCGCGCATCAAGCCATGCGCGTCTTTTGTTTTTCACACCAGCGCAGCCCTCTGACCCACAAACACATGGATAGACATATACACACAGGCACAGACACAAACACAGACACACAGACACAGACACGCCTACACCAACACACACCAACAAACACGGACACAAAGACACGGACAGGTTCGGACTGCAAGCTGGACTAGGATTGGTAAGTCCTGGAATTGGAGAAGCCCAGATTGCAGCTAGCATGTTCGCGTTTACCGAAACAGTTGCGCTGCTTGTAGCCACAGCTACGAAAGATGAATCCCTGCCCCACTCACAATCAGCCACGTTCCTCTTTAAACAACGGAGAACCACATGTTTATTCTCAGGGGGTCCCCAGTCCAACTAGTTCTGAAAGTACTCCCTTTCCAGGCCCCAACAAGTTAACAGATGCTTGTTTCTGGGCAAAGAGTTTAAAAGACTGCAAGCATTTTTTTCCAAAGAGGGCTGCTTGGTGAATGATGGCGGGGGTCCCTTAATACGACTGGCAGAGAGGTCGGAGGGAGAAATCACCAGTCCAGTCTTGGCTTCAAATTCGGCTGTTCCAATTGAGTGTTGGGCCCTGGGTTTTGGGATAGTCATGTTGTTTAATTGTGGGGATCTTTATCATGACGGAGAAGCTATTGCTTGGTGAAATGCGAAAGTAATTGCTGAAGGCATTTGAGCCGAAGCGGGACAAACGCACCCCGTGGACTGCTTGTTGTGCTGAACACGTGCTTAAATTCTGAAGTCACATTGAGCAGCATGTTTCCGTGCAACGCGATGCAGTCTAGTAGATGAAGTAACTACCCAGCACAGTGATCAAAAAAATGTGCTTGCAAGCCGATAGGTGACCATGCAACTGACAAGTTTGAGGCCAGCACCATGAGACACCTCAAGATATCTTAGGGGAGCATTGTACGTTCGAGCAGTTCGAGTAGGTATCGTCCGTTGCTCATGGTCAAAGACGCATTCCTAAGACTTCCAAGTAGTTTGCGTCATCCAAGAGCTAGATGTGGCCGTGGGTCAACACCAATGGTACCATTTTGGGGTGAATTCACCACCCATTTTAGTCTATTTTAACGGGTATTGGGATGTTCACTGGGGGTGCTGCCATGTATTTGGCCACCCCGAGATCCCCGAGCGAATCCCGTCGTTGGCTGACATAGCTTGCTTCGCCAAGGATTTGCTACGACAGCCTGTGGTCCAAGGCATCCTGCGAGCCCTTGCTTGGCCCCAAGCGTTTGGTTCATACTGTGGATGGTTGCGAAATCCGTTCGCACCACTTCAGCAGATTTGCTGGTATTTACAGGGGAATGATCATTTCAGGGTCTCTTAGATGGTGCAGGATTTTGGCCATCCACAGTAGTTCAAGTCGTCGGTGTTTGCGCGTGCGGTCAAAACGTCAGTTATAGATGTTTGCAACTGTTTAGAGCTGTTCTGGCAGTATTCGCCTTGTGCATGTTTGGAACACCGGGAGTGACAGATTATTCTCAGGCAGTTTAGCTGCGTTTGTTTGCTTGATTGAATGCTTGGTAGATTGTCGTGAAGCGTGACTACCCTTTGTGAGTCATAATTAACAAGAGGTCTTGCTTGCAAGTGAGATTGTGTCGGACCCTGCAGTCAATAATTGGCAGCAATGTTCTGGCGACGACACACACTTGGGCAACGCCATGCTTTTGGGTTCGCCGGGCCTACCTCCCGCACCCATTTGTGTGACAGGCTCATCAGCATTGGCAGGCTGAGCGGCTGAGCAAGATCCAGAATAACTCAGGATTGCATTGTGACCGACCTCGACATGCCCTGACTGCAATTGGTCCTATTGTACCAAGAAAGAGCATAGGCCAAAAGGGCCAAAACAAAAACAAGTAAAGCCAGTGTCAAGCACAGAGCTGTCAAAGCCCATCCAGCCGCTACCTTCGTGAAGACCTAGACGCCATCCAGAGCTTGGCGATGCCTCGGTTTCCGTGCGGACTGGCGAACCTCGGCAGAACCTGCGTCGCTGCTCCGTTTCCTAGGCACCATGCGCTCCAATTGGTGACACAGTCTAGACAGCTGGTCAGACGGCGCGAAGAAATGTGGATGGGATCCAAAGAGTTATCATGCTCCTGAGTTTTTCTTGTTGCTGTTGATTGCAAAATGACCTTGCATCTTTGACATGTGCCAGGGTGGCTCCCCGTTTGGATCCGCGACGCTTTGGATCCAAGGCGATTCTTGGCGCTTTGGAGGCTGCGAGGGCTGAGACATCATTTTATTCTTTGTGCGGTCAGAACCCAACAAATGGGAGGCCCAGCAGGGGTCTCTCAATTTCGAGTTTCGACGCAAAACCAGCAGCACGTGCAAGTGTTGAAGGGAAATCCAGTGACCTGCAGCAGTTGTCATCTTTTGATAGTGACTTGCAGACCCCAAATGGTAATCAGGCTTGGGGGAGACCATTGTGTTCCCTCTTGCTTGCTTTCAGCAACAAGTCAGACTGACTGTGGGGGGATGATCCATCAGGCTGAATGTGCGTGACTCTTGCTGTGCATGGACCATAATATCAATGATGTACTCTCACAGATCCACGGGTGAAAGTCGATACCCATACTTCATTCTGACAGCTTTGAGTTCACAATTTCAGCGCACCAAAGTCTCAGTGCATATTCTCGCAGTTGCCCAAAGCCGACCTTTTAACCTTTTGGTTTTCCGATTTTGATCCCTTTTTAGTCATGGCCCCAAAAGGTGAACCTTGTATTTCTGGGTCCTTTGGGCCACAGGTTGCCACTTACCAGGGCAAGCCGTTTTGGGGTTACCCTATTTTTGACCCACAGCCACGCACCAAAGTCTCAGTGCATGGCAAAGGGAAGGCTCACAGTGAACGATTCACCGCAGATTGCTGACGGTCGTCGGCGATCTCAGCGCCAGTGGCGGACTCAGACATTTTTGGGGGGGGCGGCAGCGGGTGAGCAATTGAGCACAGGGCGTGCTTTGACCGCACCTGCATTTAGGACTGTCTATGGGGAGGGGGGTGTAGATTTGCGGGGGGGTTGGGGGTTTGGGGTTTGGAGTTTCACTCCGAGAAATACGAGGATTGGCGCAGTCAGTCTCAATGTTGCCGGTCCTTGCGCATGCAAAGCCAAGCCCAAAGCTGAGCAACTGGCACGGAGGGCCCCAAACACTCAATGCTAATCCAACTTGCCAGGGTAGGAAAGAAACTGACACCTGGCAACTTTGAGTTCGCAGCCGGTTCGCCATTGAATGCCCCGTCACTGTGTAGTGCCAGCGTAGCCAGATGCTTTGCATATTTCAGTGTGAAGGACAAGCTCCCTGCGCAAGTGCCAGATGGAATACTTCCCTTTGGAAAGTGTGGTTCGAGCTTGTTTGCAAAAGCCTTGACATGCTCATGCTGGCATGACTGACAACTCAGTGTTTTCAGGTGAGCTGCAGAGCGACGACGAATGCTCAGCTGGCGCAAGCGGCTGCAGCTTGCAGGCACTGTCCGACCGTAATTTGACCTGTGATGTTTGGCTCATGCTCAAGATTCAGATTGGGTGAGACAAAGAGACCAGGCTTTCTGAGTTGACTGTGACTAGCATTCTGTTTGCATGTGATCTTCTAAGGCCAGGCTGCCATATCTGCAAGACCTGGCGTTTGAAGATGTTGCAACCCGAGCGAAGCTTTCCCTCTTCGAAATGCAGGGCTCCTTAAAAGATACATGTTGCCCATTTGAGACACGGCATGTTCCACCAAAATAAAGGGAAACCGCCATTTACAAGGCAATCTTCAGGTGTAGAAAGTAAGGATCCCTCGAAATGTCTTAGGGGCCGTTGCCCCTTGGCCGTTGCATCCCCACGGCTGTGGCCCCTTCCAGGCGTTGCAGCGTCGGGGACTTGCCAAAGCGCAAGGCCAGATTCAACTTGGAAGCAGAAAGGCTGCACTTCTTCGGATCATTTAAGCCCCAAAACCATCCATTTGTAGAGGATACAGCTTTTGGGTATTGGACCCCTTTTTCGGATCCTTCCAGAGAGCTCACTAGACTAGTGAGCTGGCGCAAGGGAGAAGCTGTCATTTGGTTTTATGTGGGGTAAGCCATTTGGGGTACCTATTGTTGACCCACACCCATGTGTTTTGTTGGTCGTTTCGGATTCAGTGTGCTCTTCATTCAAGTCCGTTCGATGAAGCATGGAGACATGGAGAAACAACAGGCGTCCACGATCCTTATTGATTTGTTGATTCTGCCCGCCCGACAACGGGACGTTTGTGCTGCCAGATACGCCGAAAGCGCAGCCTGCGCAGCCTCCGCAGCCACAAGACGCGAGCAGTGCAGACGCTGCAGACTTGCAGGCTAGTTTCGGTTGTGCCTTGGGCGAACTAAATCTTTTTGCGGTACCATGCTGAAGCAGCTGTAGCCTATACATTACGATTGACTCATGTGGGTGTGGCTCAAATTTAAAGAGCTAGGGTCACGCGAGTTTAGTCTTTGGTGGCACTGACCAAGGTGCTATTTTGGTACATGTTTTTGAGCCACAGCCATGTGCTGCCTTCCGAATTGAACATAGCTGAACCCCACCTCTGCCTGGACGGGGGGTAGCATTTCAGTGTCAAGCCCATGGTTCAGGACTGCAAATGGTGATCAGCATGTTCAGTCAGAGATATCCTGCTCAAATAGGTAAGTATGCTCAGAAACGGTCTCCCAGATTTGATTCATTCCAATTCACAAGAACATCATCCAAATGTTTTGCTGGCACTTTGCTGGTGGATTTGATGAAGTCCGTGGTCCAATGCGACAAGACTATGATCCTTCGTCACCAATGCTTATCCGTCGCTTTGCCGAGGCTACGATGGTTCCGCCGAGCAGTACTTTCTAAACTGGGAGGCCAACGCCTCAAACTTCTTCGATGCTACTTGTTTGCGATTAGACGCGGCTGTCTTCGGCGAACTCCATCCGCTCCACTTGCGCTGATATGGCAGTGGGTCAAAACCAATGGGATCTTTTTTGGGGTAGGTGCACCACCCATTTTAGTCCAATTTCGTGGGGATTGGGATGTTCACTGGGGATACGGGATTTTGACCCATGGCCATATTCAATGCCGCTTGGGTCAAGCAAGACAGTGTTTGGCTCTTGCAGCTTGAACTTGGCGTTGGGGCACCCCGAGCGGCAAGTGTCAGATCGTTCTGTTGAGCTACTACATGGGTTTACGATGGCTCCTGGTTCCGTAGCTTCCAATGACTGGAAAGCAGCAATTTTGTGCGGGCCAGGGTTGCGCAGCCTGCTGGCGTGGTTGTTGCTGCAGTGGCCACCTACCCGTCAGATTTGGACACAGTTGTGTTCTACTGCCTGGCATATGCTTACCATTTGTTGTGTTCAAATACGTGTACAAAAGTTATCTTATTTCCTTCAGATTCTGTTAGGTATGGCAGCTGTTCAATCCAGAATCAGACTTGCAATTGCTACTTGTCCCCGCAGCATGACTATGACCTGTTGCTCAGTGACTGTATTGGTTGACAACAGTGGGCTGGCCGTGGTTCAAAACCAATGGTGCCATTTTGGGATAGGTGCACCACCCCTTTAGTCTACTTTCGTGGGGATTGGGATATTCACTGGGGGTGTGATCTGGGTTTTGACCCATGGCCGGCTGGCAAATTGCGTAAACTCGGCTCTTTCTGAATTTCTGTCGGCTCGCGGCCAGTCGATCAGTCAGTCACCCGCTGCAGGACTGGACCTTCGTAACAGAGGATCCCACGAACGGAGCAGCTCGGCTGCAATGGCTGGGGCTGAAATGGCGCCGTGGAGCACGGAGCATCCCCCTCGCCTCTTGGTGCGCACGTTGCGCACGTTGCGCATTGGGGTTGCAGGGGCAGGGGCGGGACTGCTAGCTGCCAGCGAATTGTGTTTTTGCAGCTGAAATACCTGCAGGCATGTGCAGGAACGCCATCCTTGGCCAATTCAGCCCGAATCATCCCCAGCAAAGAAGAGCTTGAGTGACATTTCAGCTGCAATGGCAACCGCGCTGCCTCGCGCTTCGCTTTGAGCAGTTTGGGAAAAGCACATAGCAAAGCAAGCGGTTGTTGAGTTGGAGCGCCGCAAGGGGTATTCGCTGCCATCCCTGGAGCCTTAGCCCCATGAGACAGAGCAGCACCCGGAGGAGAGCTGATGCGAACGGATCGGGTTCGTTTGACGACACGAGCTTGCGCGCCCGCCGTCCCAACGCAACCGGCGCAACGCGCAGACGCGCAGAGATGGCCAGC